CACACACACACACACACACACACACACACACACACACACACACACACACACACACACACACACACAATGATTTATCCATTATGGCACGGAACTCAATCCTGCCCCTGGTTACGAATACGGCAGTCACGTGTGGGGTGCGAGAGGCTTCGTCTTCTGCTCTTTCACTGTTTGATCAGAAGAGGCGAATGGACCACACAACTAACTGGTTACCGGCTCATTCGGGGTAACAATGCCCAATTGCAGTCCGCTGTTTGCTGCCCAAAGGTTAGCTAATGTGCATCCCCGATCAAGAATCACTCGGTGACCGACTATCTAGAACCATTGCCCACAAGGCAAGCAATCATGGACTTTTACTTTGCTGAACTTGAATTTCAAGCACTAATCTCTCCCTAACCATCATTTTACACCCTACACACCTTCATGCCCCTCCAATTCTAATGTATTTTACCTTAACCCCATTGCGAATTTTCTCTTTCAGACGGCCGTGATACCGGTAGTGCCTCAGATCGAAGTTCTGTCACTGTTCTATCGCGTCTCACCTCAATCACTGTTCAAGTTTCACCAAATCCTGCACTAACGGATGCCCAGTTTCATTCTGGATGATCTTTCCACTGTTCCCTATTCCAATTGCGTACACTGATGCGCATAGAACAATTTACGTATTTAGCTCGTACGTTCAATACCCCTAGTCACTGATTTGTGTTGTACGGACGAGGTTCACATTCAATTGTCGTCAATCGACGTTTCTGAGGTCCCTGGGGCTGAGAATTCCGATCTTGGTGACGTTGGCGTGACTTCCAGTGTGAGAGAGAGAGAGAGATGAAGCCGAATTACACTAGACTGGATCCCATTCGACAGTACGCAGTGAGACGTGGAGGCTCGTGCACAGTTAGGCAGCTGTAGCTCCGACAGATGCAACTTGTTTGTCATGTTGAGGTAGGCTACCAAAAACCGTAACCCAGATACGGTCAAAGGTATATTTAAACAAATATTATTCAACCTCTTTGGTTTTTATCTATCTGGAAACCGCATCTGCTCTTTTGTTTGTTTAACGCTTCCGGTACCGAGATGGTATAGTTTTTCATATACCGCAGCCGGTAGCTTAACAACTGGCACCGATGGAGTAGTCAACCCCAGTGAGGAAACGCGTCCATCTCAAATTGCGATCACGACAAGCTTGCTTACACGCACGCAAATACGCACACACTAGCACTAATCTATGCTGCTCCTAAGCTCACTGTCTCAATCTCTCTCTCGCGCACGCACCGAACCCAATGGACGAGATCACACAATGATGGAGAAGACAAAAAATAATTTGTGCAATAATTTTACCGGTGATTGTATTGAGTAGAAAACCA